CCCCCGACTCTGAGAGGTGGTGACCAGGGTCCTGGCAACAGACACCCGGCTCCCAACGCTGGGGCTGGGGTCTGCGGCAGATGAGGGGAGGAAGAGGGGAGTGAAGAAAAGGAGTGCGCCTTTTGCCGCAGAGAGGACTGTCCTCACTGCCGCAGCGGGGGCCAGCCACAAGCTTCCTTAGCGGAGGAAGAGGGAGTCTTGGGGCTAGGGTACAGCAAGGGGGAGGGGAGTGGAGAGTAGAAGGAAGATGGGGGTGCTGCAGATGAGCCAGGAAATAGAGCGACAGAAGGTGTGAGGGCGGGGGATGGGGCGAAGGCTGACAGCTGCCCCTCCCAAACAGACGGAACCCCGGGAGAGAACCACTCCTTCCCCCAGAGCAGACCAAGGGGGTCAATCCGGTTTTGCCTCTCCAACACCCTTAGTCTCCCCTCTCCCAGCACATATCCAGTGAAGCTTTGTCCCGGCCCTCCCCCACTTTAATCATTCTAGACCCTCTGCCATCTCACTCTTCTTCAACACATTAGAGCCTCACCCCTCTCTAACCAGTACCAACCCCTCCCCATCCTCATCACTTCGGACCCCCCATTACCACCTCTGATTCCCTTTTACCCATGCAGACCCCTCCCCCACCCTAGCCAACCTGATTCCCTCCCTGTTATGACTCACCTTCAGCACTCAAGACACCCTCCCCCACCCCAATGAACCCAGACTCCTTCCTCACTCACTCCACCCCATCCCTTTCTCCATCTGGCTCACCTTTACCATTTCAGACCTTCTCCCTTTCCTTAACTCATCCTGGCTTTACCTCATCTTCCTCACCCTAGACCCCCTCTGCCATCTATCTTACCATCTCCCCACACTTCCACACCAATTCTGAACCCCCAGGGTCTTCTCTCACAGAAGGTGTGCCCACCCTTCCCTGAAGTGTCACTTTCTCCTTCTTGCCCCCTCTCCAAAAGAATGTCCTCACTTCCTCTTGGAGGTCACATGCCCTATCCCCAGGAGTCATCACCTGGTGGCATCCCTCACCTCCCTCTCCATCCCCAACAACCCCATCCCCTCCCCACCGTTTCTCTCCTCAGCTGGTGGCTGGGGGTCAGTTCCAGGTGGTCAAGGAGCCCCTTGGCTTTGTGAAGGTGCTGCAATGGGTGAGTGGGGTCTGGGCCATGGGGGGGAGAGAGGGAGGCAGGTAGTGGGATCCGGAAGAGCAAGGGTGGAGTTGGGGTGGGGAGCAAAGAATGGATGGGTGGATTAGGGGTAGAAGGGGATGATGGAATTGTACTCCAGGGTGAAGTCCCGGGGACTTGGGGCCAGAGAATGGATGGGCTGTGAAGTGATGTCACAAGGCCAAGGGTACCCCTGTTGTGAAGTGGAAGATTGTGACGTCCTACCTCCTCTCCTGAGATGAGAGAGAGGCAGGGGAGGTGGAGCTTGAAGCTGGTTGCTGTGGGAGAGACGCAAAGCCAAGAGAAAACCGGAGACAGTGGAAAAGACAGAGAGAATGAGAGACGGGGAAAGATGGAGATAGAGACTGAAATGCGGAGAAAAAAGAGATACAGATATATGAGAGAGGAGACAAACAGAGACAAAGAAAAGAGAGACAGAGAAAGATGCTCAGAGAACAGAGATGCAAAGAAATAGACACTAGAAGAGAGGCAGAAAATGAAAATGGAATGGAGGAAAGAAAGAGACAGAGAAAAAGACACTCCAAGACAGCAGGAAAAGAGAGACTGATACATAAAGAAAGAGGCACACGGGAGACAGAGAGAATACCATACAGAGACCGACTGAGAGACAGCAAGGAGAGACAGGCAGACTGAGAAACAAGCAGAGAGAGAGAGACATGCATTCAGACAGAGAGAAAGGAAAAAAGACATAAAGAGACACAGATACCAGAGAGACAGAGGCAGAGAAACAGAGATGGAGAGAAGCAAAAAGACATCTGAGAAAGACAAAGACACACAAAGAAATAGAGATACCAAGAGAAATAGAGACAGAGAGAACAGAGACAGATGGAAATACAGAGAGAGACAGCAACAGAGAGACTGTGACAGAAGAGAGAGAGAAGGAGGGGATCAGAGCATTGAGAGGTACAGACAGACAGAGACACTAGAAGAAAGACAGAGACAGCCACACCCCTGTAATCAGCTTGTCCTTGGGCCTGATGAGCCCTGATTAGAGGGTGGGGGCAGAGGCTGGTCCATCTGCTGCTGCCTGCGCTGGGCCCTGATCTGTCCAGAGGAGGGCACCCCCATCCCAGGTGCACACAGGCTCACTGTGGCCATCCCCATCCCTGCTGCCCAAGGTCTTTGCCATCTTCGCCTTTGCCACATGCGGCAGTTACAGTGGGGAGCTCCAGCTGAGCGTGGATTGTGCCAACAAGACCCACAGTCTCCTCAGCATCGAGGTTGAATTCGAGTACCCCTTCAGGTGTGCCCCCACCCTAGCCCACCCCTTGGACCCGGACAGACCTGGGAGAGGACAAAGGTGGGGAGGGACCTGGCAACACCTCCTCCCCAGCGGCTCCTGCCTAGCCCCTACCTCAGGAGACCATACCGGGTCAGGTCACTGCACATGCACTGAGCACCTACCTTGTGCCTGGCACTGCTCCGGGCCTCTATGACATGAGGTGAGCAAGACAGGCATAGGCTTCTCCATCTGCGGAGTAGCCTTCTCTCTTTCCCACTGCTTCGCTAATAAACTCTCTTTCACTTAAAAAAAAAAAAAAAGACAGGCATAGGCTGTTGTCCTCTGGCTACGTTCTAGTGAAGGCGAAGGGCAGGCAGGAGACAGGCAATAAACAAGGTTCAAAAGTAAGAGTATGTATAGCCTAACACAGTAGGTACTCAACTAATGTTAGCCAATATTAATTACCATTCATTCATTCCATACACATGTTTTTGAAAATCAGATACTTGTCAGGTACTGGTCACAGTGCTGGGGACACAATAGTGAACAAAACAGACCAAGCTCCCTAACCTCATGGAGCCAATATTATAACAAATTAATTAATGAAGAGGATAATTGCAGATTGGGATAAATTCAAGGAAAGGATCCTCATGAGGGGTTTTATGATAGAGAATAATGAGAGGGTGCTGTTTAGTTCTAGGAAGTGATTAAACCAAATTAAACAACTCGGATATTTATTGAGATAATACTCTGTGCTGGGAGTTAGGTACGTGAGAGTGAGCACAAGCAGGCAAGGTCACTGCCCTCAAGGAGATGTTTACCTCCTGGCTGGCAGGCAGACAGAGACACACAGATACAATTTCAATAGAGGCTTCTGAGGCTCCTCCACTACTTGGACAAATCACATAACTGCTCCAGATCTCAATTTCCTCAACTGTAAAATGGGATAATACAGGGTTATGATGAATATTAAATGGATTAATACTTGTAAAGTGTTTAGCACAGTGTCAGGCACAGAGTAAGCACTCCATACATGTTTATTAACATAGAGGAAATAAATAAGTTCAAGGGATTCAGGAAAGAGGTCATTAATTGAGTTGGAAATTGGAGGAGGGTGAGCACTAAGGATAAATGGAGGCTCACGAGATCACCTAGGCAGGGTGAGAGGGCAGAGTGAAGACAGGAAAGCCCAGCACAGGTTCAGAGCAATGGTCAAAAGAAAAGGAGGTTCCAGGGATGTGTGGCCTGAAAGGCAGAGGGCCAACCAAAGATCCACCAGTTCACAGAAGCCAGGGAAGAGAGTTTGGGGAAGGAGAGGGAGTTGGCAGCATAGGCTAGTGCTGAGAGCAGGCCCTTTGAGAATCCAGAAAACCACAAAAATCTGTGGTCATTCCCCCAATACCTCCCATGCCTAGGACCTCAGATCCTGAGGATCTGCCCTTTACCCACAAGTCTCCTGGGAAAAAGTCTGTGACATGGATCTCCCTGACCAACCCACCACTGTCCCAATACCCCCAAGGGCCTTTTGTTTCCCCTTAGATACCCCCTCTCCCAATTCAGCATACTAGAAACCCAGCAATTCAAAACCAGATTTAACTCCTAGCCCCAGTATTTAGCAGCAGCACAACCTTGAGCAAGTAACTTAACCTTGCTGAGTCTTTGTTTTTTCATCTGTAAAATGGGTATAATAATGCCTGCTTTAGAGAATTGCAGGGGGAAGGTCATTAAATGAGGCATTTATGCAAAATAGTAGGGGATCAATAAGTGTAAGCCTTGGGACATTTGCTACACAAGGGCACTGGCACCAATTGCTTTGTCTCAGGATCTTGTGCCCCAATCTGAGGTGAGAGCTCTGTGACCTCACCACAGTCTTCCCCACACACATTTTTTCCTGACCCCCTTCCATGACACCACAGGAAAGGCCTTAGCTCCATGCCTTCCCACTCAGCTCCCCCCCCAAATACACACATCCTGTTCCAGGATCCCTTCTACCCTCCTGTCAGTCTGTCTCTTCCTATTTTGTTGTCTCTGGGCTCTCCTCTGCAATGCATACCTTTCTTTCTCTTAGGGACCTGAAGTAGGGCAGAGAGAAGAGTCAATATGATGTAGCCCGGGAAACAAAGGGTTCGGATCCTAACTCTGCTATTCCCTCACCAGCTGTGTGACTTTCGTTAAGTTAATGCACTTCGCTGAGCCTGTTTCTGCCTCTGTACGTTTCAGTAAATAAACATTTATTGAGTGCCTACTATGTGGCAGCACTGCTTCAGGCCCTAGAGACACAGCAGTGAACAAAACAAAGGGAAAAGCCCTGCCTTCTTGTAATTACAGCAAAAATCAAGAAAAAATAGTATGTCAGATGGGGTATCACTGCTACAGTGAAAAAATGGAGCAAGGAAGGGGTGCTGGGAGGGAATGGTTGAATTTAATTTTAAATGGTAAGAACAGGGAAGGTATCACTGAGAAGGGAACAATTGAGCAAAGCTTGAAGGAGATGAAGGGAGTAAGACATAAAGATACCTAGAAGAGCAGTCCTTTGCAAATATCCTGGAGCAGGAGCGTACCTGGTATGTTCTATGAATAACCAAGTGGCCAAGGTACTTCTGTTGAAGTGAGGGATGAATAAAACTTATTTCATGGGATGCTATGAGTAACCAACGAAATGTGACTGGTACACAGTAGGTGCTCTGTGGATGGTAATTTCCTCCTCTTCCAGGGACCTTGTCAATCTGGGAGATTCATGACTGGGCGGAGTGGGGGGTGGGGGAGGGGGTTCCTAAAGTCTGGACCACACCTGCCTACCTCTCTCTGCAGGCTGCACCAAGTGTACTTTGATGCACCTGACTGCAGAGGGGGCACCTCCAAAGTCTTCCTACTAGGGGACTACTCCTCATCAGCGGAATTCTTTGTCACTGTGGCTGTGTTTGCCTTCCTCTACTCCATGGGGGCTCTGGTCACCTACATCTTTCTGCAGAACAAGTACCGAGAAAACAACAAAGGGCCCGTGCTGGTGAGCCCCCACAGCCACTTGAATGCAGGAGCCAGGGGACACAGAGCCTCGGGGAGGCAGCCATGTTCATAGGTCACATCAAATCCCAGACAGGCCCACATGCAAGCAGCCACCATAACAGCCACACATGCTACTGCAGCTACTGTTGAACACTAAATCATAGAGTGACCGAGACACACTCATAGCCCACACAGAATCGCAGATAGGCCTACACCTGCAAACCTCCCACCTCTCACACAACCACACAGTCTAGATCAAAGAATGGAGTACACAGACTTTCACTGTGACAGTCATGCTTGTCGTGTCACACAGACACACTGATTCCTACACAGCTGCACTCATACGCTGTCATCCCAGACACAAAATGACACATAATCCCACATTCAGATGAAAGTGGAAAGACAAAGTACTTTCCATAGATTCAACACCCATCCCCCAGAATTCTCCCACACCCACACCACATATCACAATCACACTCCCACATCCTCTGTGAGATGCACGAGCCCAAACTAGGACTGCCACCTTCAGGTGAGTGTTGGGGAAAAGGCAGAGGAGAGACAGACCTCTTCTGGGGGACCCCTCTCCCAAGAAAGCCTGTGATCTGAGAAGGCCCCACACCCCAGAATGAAGCAGCCCACTCACAGTGTTATCTCTCCCCTGCCCATCCTAGGACTTCCTGGCCACGGCAGTGTTTGCCTTCATGTGGCTGGTTAGCTCGTCGGCATGGGCCAAGGGGCTGTCGGACGTGAAGGTGGCCACAGATCCAGACAAAATTATCAAGGGGATACCTAGCTGCCAGCAGAAGGAGAATACATGCAAGGAGATAAGAGACCCTGTGACCTCCGGCCTCAACACCTCCGTGGTGAGCCCTGGGAAGCTGGCCAGGCTGGCTGGGGAGGGGGCCTAGGTCACTTAAAGTCTGGCATGGGATGTGGTGGAGAGAGAGAATGAGAGGATTCAGATATCCAAGAGGGCTCCCCAGAGAAGGCATACCAACAACAGAGCCTTGAAGGATTAGATAGCAATTGTAACTACTGTGACACCACAAACTGTCCCCAAGAGGGGAACATGAGATCTTCTGTCCAATTAGGTTTGGGAGACCTGGATCCCACCCCTAGCCTAGTCATGTTAAATCTCCAGCAACTCAGTACACTCTGAAACCTGTTTTCTTATATGCAAAATGAATAACTTGAAATATTTCCTACCTGGACGCCCCCTACTGGCCGGAGTCTGTCTGAACTCAAATCCCAGCTCTGCCACTTGCAAGTTCTGTGACCTGAAACTAGTTACTCAGCCTCTCAGGCCTCAGTTCCAACATGTGAATTGAAAACTAAGAATAGGTCCTGTTCCAAAGTTGAGTATTTAGTGAGCTAATAATAGAGTGCTTAGAAAAGGGCCTGGCATGTGATAAGTCATATACAAGTGTTACAGATGTTAAGATTCCAACTCTGTCATTTGCTGGATGAGATCTTAGGCAACTTAGCCTCTCTGGGCTTTAGTTTCCTCAATTATAAAGTGGAGACATTACTTCCTGTCCCAAAATTGGATTATATTGTATATATTTATTTTAGATACATGTAAAACATTTTGTATTTATAAAACATGTATTTGTTTTAATATCAAAGTATATATTTACATACTTTATACATGTGTAGTTATACATATATTTGTGTATACATATATATGCGCACTTATGCATCTGTTAGTGGTGCACTTACATATTTAATCAAAGTTTATGCTTAATGTTTTACTATATCACAAATTTAGATTTGTTTGCTATATTTTATACATGTATAAACGTGCATATGTAACACGTAAATGTGTAAATATATAAACAAATGTATGTTATATTACTAGATCTCAACATCCCAGGAATCTGAATTCTAACATGCCCTACCCCTACTCCCGAACGTGATTTTTCTGCACATTGATGTTCATGCGCTGGGACTTGGTGGTCTGGATTTCAGAAACCACCACCCTTCCGGAGCCCTAGGATCCATGCCAAACGCGCATTGCCTCGACGTAACCAGGGGCCGCTGAGGCAATGGGCGTGGGACCACAGCCGAGCTTTATCTCCCCGCAGGTGTTCGGCTTCCTGAACCTGGTGCTCTGGTTTGGCAACCTGTGGTTCGTGTTCAAGGAGACCGGCTGGTCCGCCCCATTCCTACGCGCGCCTCCCGGCGCCCCTGAGAAGCAACCGGCGCCCGGGGACGCCTACGGCGAGGCGGGCTATGGGCAGGGCCCTGGCGGGTATGGACCCCAGGACTCCTACGGGCCCCAGGGCGGCTACCAGCCCGACTACGGGCAGCCCGCCGGCGGCGGTGGCGGCGGCTACGGGCCTCAGGGCGACTACGGGCAGCAAGGCTATGGCCCTCAGGGTGCGCCCACCTCCTTCTCCAATCAGATGTAGTCTGGTGAGTGACGGGCGGGCAGTGCGGCCAAGGAGGGTACCTGAAAGGAGATGGGCGGGTCAGTAAACCAATAAGAGTCCGTAGTAAATGGTACGCGAGACGCTAGCCAGACAAGTGAGGGTGGGAGTTTGAAGGAGCCAATACAGAGGCTCAGCTAGCTGCTTGCTAAGAGGGAAAACCTATCCAATGAATGGAAATCAGGAGAGTGGTGCTTGAAGATGGGAAGAAAGAATAGCCCAACGGGAGAGGTAGAAGTGCAGTTCTGAGGGGAGGGAGGGGACATTGGGCAAAGCAACCAATGAAAGGAGGGAACAGCAGGGGAACTTTTGTAGTGGAGAATCAGCAGAGCTTAGGATCCGTGGAGAGAAGTGGAAATGGTCTTAGATATATGGTCAGTATATTATGATAAGACCAATAAATGGTGATGGTAAACTGGCTTGGATCGTGAAGTTCAAACAAGCTCACCAATCCGGGAGGAGATGATAGATCTGTCACCTCTCCCCAACTCTCGAAGTGTGGAATTTCAAAGAAGGAAAAAGGGATGGGGCATGGGCATTGGAAAGGCTTGCTGGCCTTCTTGCCTGATCTGAAAAAAAAAAAGTGAGATTTCCCTCATACTTGAGGGGGAAGATGGAGAGAAGAGGCAGGGTGGATGGCATGAGAGAGGAAAGGCCAGGAGGTGGCAACACGAAGATGGAGGTAGCTTCTGGCACTTGGCCAGGATGGAAAGGACAGGGAGGAGCTTATTACACATCCCACATGTAATTCATCAAAAAATCCTGTTGGCTCTATCTTCAAAATATAATCTGTAATATCCCCCCTTTTCACTGTCATCTCCCCCAACATCTTAAGTTTCCACCCCCATTCCCTTTCTGTTCTACTCACAGCGTTGGGAGGGAATCCCATTAAATCTTAAGTCAGGCCACCTTCCTCCTGTGGTCAGAGCTCTTCCAGGGCTCCAGTCTCACTCAGATCGACAGCCAAAGGCTTCACAGGGCCCTACACAATCTAGCTCCTCACCTCATTTCTCTGACCTCTCACCTTCTACCATCCCCCCCACACACACACACACACACTGTTCCAGCCACACAGGCCACCTCAATGTTCCAAGCACAATCCAACTTCAGGGCTTTACCTTGGTACTGCTTTCTCTTGGAGTTTCATAACCACACACGCTGATAACCTCATCTAACCAGATCCTTACAAGTCCCCTTTCTTACCTCTCTCATAGTACCCTGTGCTTTTTTTACCACAGTTTGTAATTATTAGTTTATATATCTTTTACTGATTTTAGAAAAAGGGAGGGGGGACATTGATTTGTTGTTCCAGTTATTTATGCACTCATTGGTTGATTCTTGTAGGTGCCCTGACCAGGGATCAAACCCACAACCTTGGCATGTCAGGATGATGTTCTAACCAGCTGAGCTCCCTGACCAGGGCTTAGCTGATACATTTATTTACTGTCTCTCCCACTAGAGTAGGGGATGTGACTATGACTTATTCATGACCACTTAGAGCACTGCTAATGTTAGGAAACATTTATTGAGGAAATAATCGCAACAACATGACTTTTTATTCTTCTCTGCTCAGAATCTTCCCATGACTTACTCCTCATCCAGAGTTAAAGCTGATGTCCTCACAACCTAGTCCTGTGTGGCCCCATTACCTACCTCTCTGACATCACCTCCCACCTCTCTCCCTTGCTCATTCCACTCAAGCCCCACTGATCTCCTTGCTGTTCCTCAAAAACACTAAACATGATCCCACCCCAGAGTCTTTGAACTGGCTGTACTCCCTGCTTGGAATGCTCCCCATGCCCCCAGTTATCTGCATGGCTCACTCCTTTACCTCCTTAACTCTTTATTCCAATGTCACTTCTTCAGTGTGGTCTTCTCTGACTACCCTACTTAATACAGCAACTTTCCTTCCCCTACTGGCACTCCTAACCCCCTAACCCTGCTCTACTTTTTATTTTTCCATTTCACTTATTATCATCTTATCTTAGTCTAGATAACTTTATACATTATGGTTATTGTTTGAAGTCTGTCTCCCCTGCTACAGTGTAAGCTCCACAAAGATGAGAATCTCAGTTTGGCTCAATATAGTTTATAACCAATGACTAGAACAGTTTCTATTAATGAACTTCTTTGGATTAGGGGAATGAGGACCATAATTTCTTTGGTACCTAATCTAGTGGGGCAAGGTATATCTTCCCAGTAGGGACAGCTGAGATGAAACTGACTCCAAGATTCTGAGTGAAGGAAAAAGGAAGAAAAGGCATGTCAGACAGAGGGTAAAACCGGGGTGAAGGCATAGCAGCTCAGCCCCTCCCTAAGGGCACCACCTGTATCTGGATCCCCTCTCCTTTCTGTGTCTTTTTTCTCTACAGGTCAGTACAGCCCAGGAGGACACCATGGGTGGGCAAGAGCTCAGGAG